AAAAAAAAAAAAAAACAAAGGGACTACACACACCTTCGACTGTCAACACGTTCGTTGTCAGAGTTTGTAAAAATTAGCATTTCCAGAGCAGAAATATTACTTATTGTGAGTCTACCACAAACCGAACTCTCCAAGCGTTACAATACGAGATAGAAAAATGGGGAGGTCCAAAGTGAAAGGCACTTACCTTGATGGAATCGTAGCAACAGATAACACGTCCATTTTGTACATCCACATGTGGAGGTGGGTGAGCGAACTTGCATTCATTTTCATCTCTGGAGCACATTTTTCGTTGGTACTGACGACACACCTCCAATGTGAGCCATCGTGAATCCTTCATGGTGCCCGGTGATGCGGTGGCCGCAGCCGTGGCAGCCGCTAGAGCCGCCAGTACCTGATGCACCTCTGTAGGACTGCCCATACTTGTCATAGCGGGTGTGCCCACCCTTGCAGCTGCCGCTGCGGCGGGAGCTGCTAAGTAGGGACTGTAGAGGGCCGCACCGGCCTGTGGACTTGCGTTGATTGAGCCACCCTCCAAGGTTGCTGGCCAACAGGCCAGTTGAGGCGCTTGGTAGTGGTGGGGTGATTGATAGCAATCAGATAGTTCCGCCGTTTTGTTGGCTTCAATTGATTGAAAGACTTTTGTGTGAACTTGAGGACGATGGAGAAGGAGATGATGATAATGACGAGTGACTTTGAGTAATTTTGATCACTCTCGAAGGCGCATCTATAAAAGGGAAGACCCGAACAGTCCAACACATGCTTTGACAAGTGTCAAAGGCATTTCTCCACAGTTCCACAATGATTGAGGAGTATGAAGAACGGTTGAGCAAAGTTGTCTTTTTGGATAAGTAAAATCGGTTAGAGGGATCAGTCTCTATCACCATTTCTCACAGTCCAATTTTTTCACATCCCTGCTCTTTGCGTGTTTCGTGTTTAAAATTTCTTTGTGTGTGTGTGTGTTTGTGTGTGAGCGAGAGGATAGGAAGGAAGGAATGGAGGGAGGGAGGCAGGCAGGCAGGCAGTGAGAGGGAGGCAGCGATTCTGTGAACTTTAAGACACAAAAATCTGCAACCCAGTGTGCATATTATATGGCCTCAAATGACAGCCTATTTATCTTGGATCGGTCCAACAGAAACCGTAATTTCATGACCAGAGGCAACCACACATGCCATGCATGCGTGCGGTGTGACGCGAAGTGGCAGGCATTGTCAAAAATAAACACAAAATACACACACGCACACGCATGAAATGCTATCATCACGCTTGACAGGAGGTGTAGAGGAAAGTGGAAGGTCCTCTCAATCCTCTTTATCAAAGAATCAACAAAATAATCAAACACAAAAGACTTCTAAAGGCTTGCTTATTCTTTAAGGCAAAACAGTGACCTGGTCAGACGAAAGCTGAAGATTGTCAGGGAGTGTCTTAGCCGTCTAAACAGAGGCAATTCAAATTGCATACCTTTGTTTTCAAAGTGCTCTCTGAGTCACTCGTATGTGCGTCCGGACTTATCAATCCACCGTGTGTGGACCCACCAGGGTGGACATAAAATCCGGCCAATGAGATGGTGGAACAATGGCTACACACATAACCTAAAGCCACCTTCCATCTTTTGTTTTAGACCTAACAAAAAGTCATTTGCGCAAAAAAAAATACGTTTAGCTTTCAAAACAAGAGCCTCTTAAGAAAGGAGAGTCAAAGCTTAATTGCTACTTAATGGAGGTAGACGTTGTGACGTCAGTGAGTGGCGTATATGCTCCACCAAATACTCGATGCTGCAGTATTGTGAGATGATGAAACCATCCGATAATTTCCACCTCTATGCCTCCCCACAAAGTGGTTGAAAGTGCCTGCACCTGGGTGTCTCTTGGTTGCTTTTTCTCTACACCGAACGATTTGACAATCACCCAAACATCTACCAGAACAGTCAAAAGAGGAGGAGAGAGCGAACGTGAAAGTAGACGGTAAAGCTGGTACCGGTGCTATGGAGCGCCGTTTGTGGACTTTGCAATGCCAAAGCACTGTGACAAGGCCATTACCAGGCCTCTCCGAGTATTAGGTCAGCAAACTTGCCTGGTTTCGGTGCCAAAAACAATGCAGCATCGTTTACAAAACCAGTAACTTATGCAATAATCTTAGTAAGATAGGATGGATTAAGGGAGTTGAGAGTAGGGAAAATAGAAGGAGTAGAAGAATGGCAGGAGATTGACTTACAGGAGGGCAGTAGCGCATCTTACTACACGCACATGTTCTAGGTCCAAGGTCTCCTTGATAGCATGGCGTGTGCGCCAACTAGTCGAGCCAATGAGAGCAACGGAAGGCGTTTGACAAGCGCTGCAGCGCAAATCGGATTGGGGCTGGGCTGAGGTGCGTTGTGCTGTGCTTCTAAACGACGTCGGCATGGCACGACACACATACACATAGTGCTATGATGTGGAACGCTAAAGTACACTTTTCGATGTCAGTAACATCACTTCCCTAGGCCTTCATCACGTTTCCCTCCCTGTAGCCTTGAAAATTACCTACGGCTGGACTACAAGTTTTCGCCGCCCCTACCTTTCCCTCCCTCTCCCTTTTTCTCTCTCTCTCTCTCCATGGCTATGTAAAAGTAGAGCTTTTTTCTGTTTCGTTTTGTCCACTAAAGCGTGAGCAGTTGTCGGATTTAATAAACGTCTCCTCCTTCTCCCGCCTTCCCAAATTAACTCATCCTTAACAGGGAGTTAAAAAAAACAGCCGCTGGGGAGCAAAAAGTAGGGATAGCTTTATGAGCGGTCAGTGTTTTAGCTGCCCTCCCCAGAGGTAGAGAGGAAGTCAGGTTGGGAAAAGGGCAACCAAACCCGGCTTCCAGGGCTCGGAAAACATGGATGAGGACGTTGGTCCCCCCTTGTTAGCAGTTGACAAGTTGATAAGACAGCACTCCAAACTTATGATCAGTTGCTATTTTTTCCGGCATTTTGGGGTTCCCTCAAGTAACTAGCTTCTAAATTTGAGGCTACTTTATCCAAATTCTTTTGCTAGATCACATTTCTCCATAAAAAAATGGCGCAGTAAAAGAAAGTTAATTGAGGGAAGGGAAAGATAAAAAATTTAAGTGCGAACTACTGTGCAGCAATCAGGATTGGGGGCAGAGAGAGTTAAAAAAACCAAGAAAAGAATGATTTCGCCTCTTCATCACGTATAAATATCCACCAAATTACGACATTCGATAAATAAAGAACAAAAAAAATGGGTCTAAAAAAGAAAGCCAGATTTTCACTGCCTCCAGCTGAATGCATTACTTATTAATGGAGAAAGGAGGAGGAGGAGGAGGAGGCGATGGGAAACAAAAACGTCCCCTTGAAGTGAATTTGTTGGGGTGGGGAGGTGGGCCACCACCACTTCCCCCAACCACCACCTCCATCCTCCACGGGTATCCACACGACTGAAACAGACTTATTGCTTCTCAAAACACACCAAACGAGAGCAATAAAACAACGCCATTGGTCTCAAGCATTGCTTCAACCCCCAGGCCTGGATTTGAGGAACAGTCTTAAGCCAACTGATAGTGGTATGGAAAAAAAAGGGGCAAATCAAATAGCCTCACACGAACAGAGTTGCGACAGGATCAAAGGAGTGTCAAAATGGGATGGTGAAACTTTCAATTTCCCCATGGAGAGTCAGTTTTGTGTTTTTATTTTAGTCTACCGCCTTACCATGCGCAAAAATGGAAGTGGAGTGATGACAAGAAGTGCCGCCTCAGAGGCTTAAGTAAATCTTGCCTAGACCTGGCTCCATTTCCCGGTGTAAGGGATGTGATCACAATGGCAAATTAGGTCTAATTGACAGATGCTACTCGATGTCACGAAAAAGGAAAAAAAAGAAGAGAGCCAGAGCGAGAATGAGAGAAAAAGAATGATGACGTTGGGTTTACTGACTGCTCAGTTTTAAGACAGTACAGCTAGCCTGTGTGTGCAGAGGACGTTTACATCGCCTCTTCTTTCTACTTAACGCATCTCCACCGCAGTTGCGTCCAAGCTCAACGGTTGCAGCGTAGAGCGCAAGAAGGAGGTGAAAAAGTTATCTCGTAGCAGATTAGAAATTCAAATTAGCCAGTGCCGACAAAAAGTTGCTAGGAGCACCCCGACCCGAGACCACCAGCAACGTCCTTACAAATTTGGTAGTTAGGAGTTGTGGACTCGCCCTACACCCTTTTAGAAGGGTCACGTTTAAATGATGGAAGGTAAAAAGGGTTCTCTCAAGTCGGATCGAATGAAAGCGTACGTCAAGTGACCCAACACGTCATTCATCATGCAAAAGCCACGACCAATCGTCTGCCGATCCCACCAAGTAGGTCACTCATTTTCCCTTCGTACCAAAAAAGAAAACATCCAAAGTTCGCAAGAAATAACTGCATTTCCGCCGTTTCTTTGGGTTTGCCACTTACGGTGGAAGCGATCGTAAAAGCTACCCTTCTTTATCCTCCAGTCCAAGAGATGCATGGGAAGGCATAAAATATTCAAATGTACCGGTGTAGAACCACTCGAAATTCCATTTGCCCATCAGTTGGATGAATGGGTACACTGGAAAGTGAGGCATTCAACCCTCACTTGCTACTTCCACCGAGTGAGATTTGAGGGGCGGTCGAGGCTGCCGGTCCTTGCTGCTCCCTCCTCCTCCTCCTCCTCCTGTTCCGCCTTCAGCACAGATCAAAGAGTGGGGCAAGTGACGGTGGGTATAAGATGGTCCGCTCTCCTTTCGTCCTGGCCAGCTGTCACACAGAAGCGGGAAGAGGGCCAAAAACCACTCCCACTTTTTACTCCTTGTGGAGGCGCAAAAATAATCGTAACTTTTTCATCTCATGCCCCTCCCTTCGCGGACACACTAACCTCCCTTCTCCTTTTTTAAGCCTCCACAATACATCATTTACGCCTCTTCCTCCTCCAGATGGTGTGAAGGCAACTCAGTCTCCTCAATTTCCACCAACACGCAATTCTGTCGAGTTGTTGGGTTCTCATGGCAAATTGATGAAATGTTTTTTTGTTTCATTTTCTACCAAATGTAGTAGTGGCTGGTTGGCATTGTTGTTCTCCCAGCGTAAAATGATTAATGCTTTGACGGTCTACTTCCGATGCAACAATTAAGTTGTTCCACATAATCAACAGACATACGTACACACACCGAAGGTTGTAAACTACACGGCTCGAGGATGAACCTTCAAATGATAAATACCAGTAGGTGGATCTAATCTACTTGAAAAAAAACTGTCGGTGAAGTAAAACAAATAGAGAGGAAGAGGAGGCGGCGGCGGTGGAGGAGGAGGAGGAGGAGGAGACTGATTTCCTGTTCTCCGTCTACTTAAGTTAACTTCGAATAAGCGAAGCGGAAAACGATTGCCAAGACAGCAATGGAATAGCAGGAATGTTGGAGCCAAAAGGTAAAAAAGAGCACTATGCAAGGAGGACGAATCGCCTGTTTTCAGGAGCGACGGGACTACCAGAAGAATGACTTTTGGAGTGCGCCAGTTTAAGGCAATTCGTGCACCACATGTAATGTATGTACCGTACAGTGCAAAACGATTACATCCCCAACACCTCTCGTTCGGATAACACCAACTTCTGCACCTAGCAAATGGGAAATTGAAATGCAAAGAAATGCAACCTTCCTCCTCATACATTTTGTGTGCAATTAAAAATGAATTCTTTTGCTACACCAAATGTATGTGTGAAAGGAGGGCGAAGGCAATTAAAAAGGAAAGTCTCGACCTCAAGAGGCCTTAAAATTCGGCCAAGACAAATGGACCAGAAAACCAAGTGAAGTGTGATGGATTTGGAGGGCAAAAACAAGAAAACCTAGTCTACCAAAACCTCATTGGTTGCTTTTTGATGGCAGGAATTAGCCTTCTGCCTGGGAAAGTGGACTTTGGCCATGGTGTTACACTGAAACATCATTCTCTCACTGTCGGAACAGAAGGGTTTAAAAAAAGCGCGGATCAGCGGCTCTTTTTGTTTTGCCTCAGAGTCTACGACACATTTCGTGTATCACATGTGCTGACCCGTTACTGGCTTTCCGCCTCCACCGCCACCCCCCACCATCACCACCGCCTTCTTCATCATCATTCACCAAACTGTGATCAAACGCACAAAAAGACAATGCAGATATGTTCAAAGCTTCTGCGCTTTTCAGTTGGGAAATTGATTGCTTTAAAAGCTAAAAAGGCGCTGATTTGGTCGCTCCCTTCCCTCCAAAGGGAGGCGTTACATGCAATTTCATTTCGTGGTCGGTTAGCTGCCTCCAAGGCACGAACAAAAAAAAAACAACACGGAAGCACAGACCTAATTTTACAAATACCAGTTACTTTTTTTCTTTCAATGACTTAAGAAAGACGAACACATTTTTTTCCACTAATCTACCAGTAAGCTGAGGGATACTGCGAGGCCTTCTTTAAACGCCTTATGGGAATGGAGAGGAGACGAAATGGGTGAAATTCTCCAAATACTTGCCCAATGTTAATCACTCGTACAAAATTTGCGAGGAATATTCCATCAAAAATGCATTCCAGACACCAAAGAAAGTGGCAATTTTTTTCCTCCTTTTCCTTTTCCTCTTCAACTAAAATAGCGCCTCTCTCCACGTGCGTGCACATTCATTCGCAGTGAAAATAAAAAAACTAGCAAGCATTGCACAAAGTTGTCTGTTCGCTTCGGGGAGAATAAAAATCCACTTACTGGCTGTTTGTCAAATCCTCCGAATAGAACGAATAAGGATAGAGCCTATGGCGGACATTGATTCTTAATTTTTGTAATGAAAGACTAATGGCTGATCTACGACATGAAAAGGGTGAAGGAGGAAATGAAAAAAGGACAAAAAGTATGCAGTAGAATGGCTTACAAAGGATAGAAGGAGGACGGCGACGAGGTGGAGAAGCTGAGAAGATGAGGAGTCCCGAGAGAGCATACAAAATAAAGCGTCCGCCACCTGAACCTTCAAACTGCGCAGCGTGAATGTGCATGCACGCACGCGCACGCACGCCTCCGTGCTTGTGTGAGTGCGTGCGTGCATGCGTGCGTGCGTGTTAAAGGCCAACGGCACAGCTGCACGCGTAGCGCACCTCCGTCCTACCCCCACTCCTGCCCCTCCCTATCTCGCCTTCACATCACACCCCTTGTCCAACACCCTTGGTGCATCAAATAAATCCTGTGTACGCATACACGCACGCGCGCGGTGCGGCGATGTCAAAGTGAACGAGCGAACGAGCTTACGAGCCTGCCTGTCCGTCTCACTGACGGCTTGTGAACATGGCCTGTCTGTCCACAACTACCAGTGCTTTGTTGCGCAGACGTTTTGGCTGGTGAGTGGGTGGAGTGCGCTTGAACTCACTGCACTACGAGGCGCAGAGAGAGGCTGGAACACAGACACCAACCGGGCAACCCAGATTCTGTGACAAGACAGGCGAGAACAAAGACCATGTGAGGCGGTGTGAGTAATACCACGACCCTGTAACAAAGTTCTCGTATAATCGATAATTGGCTAAATCGGGGCTCCGAGTTCCGTTCGCAGAGCATCGAGTGGGCGGACAAAAAAAATCGATATTCATTGTATGGTCCTCCAGCCGCCCTCCTAAAGCCAGCTTTTAAAACATTCGTTTTTTATGCGCGTAGGCAAGGGTAGGAGTAAAATTATGAGATTAGATGCTAAAAAGGACAAGCAATTCTGCTGATGCGTAATTCTACGGCAAATGGAGTTTTTTTTGTAAGGTTTGTGGGACGTCAACTTTTACGCTCCATTAGAATATTGGTTCTGGTTTGGTCGAGGTAGGTGGGGGACGAGCCTTTAACCCCCTCAAAGGGAATAGGCGGCTATGATTTAGAGAGAAACATGAAACGGACTGTTAGTGCTAAGCCATGCATTGCCGTTTCACTTCATCTGCTATCCGCCGATCACCTCGTAAATATCCACTTCGTAGTCCGGACAAAAAAACGTTATTTGCTCTGATTCAAAGTTGGCCAAAACAAAAAAAAGCTGGCATTTCAGTATTTACACATATTGGACGGCCGTAGAGTAACCCTCACTCGGACAAGGATGTGTTTAATTTTTCCCATCCCCAATTTTATAAGCAAACAAAATAAAACAAGCAGAAGGGGGAAAAAAAAGTAGGGAAAAATGGACAAATCACTGGTCATAAACAGTCTCCGATCGCCTAATTACTCATTCTTGATGGAGGTCGGATAAAATTACCCATTCATTATCCCCACATGTGATGACTTACACAGTCAAGGGAAAATTGCTTTGAAATCAAGGCAGATGGAAACAAGAAGGTTAAGCAAAGTATTAAATCGACATATTTACATGCCTGCAGTTTAACACCATAGATGAAGCATTACCCAACCATAAATTGGAAAATCAAATCCCCTAATCGACAGTTCCATCATTTCGCAATTTTTGTCCATTAAGGGAAGTTGTAAAGTGATAAGAAGGTCATAAAAAAGGCGAAAATTAAAGGAGACGAAAAGAGATTTGGCTAATTTTAAACCGCTCAGCTTCCGAATTGAGGAGGAGGAGGAGGAGGACGTCTCTCCTCTGAATCTCCTCCAAAAATCGGTTATTGGTAGACATCCTTTAAGGCAAAAGTTGCTACTGTCGTGTATAAAAGGAAGTAGGTGACAGTGTGAGACACTTTGTAGTCCACACACTCACTTGCCTCCTCTTTCGGTACCACTCACCTTCATGCCATTTTATCTCAAATTTTAATGCGACTGATGGGTGTGGTTACAGCGTCTCCACATCTACACCATATCAAATGGGTACAAGTTTCTCATCAAACTTTGCTTGCATGACACTCGTAGATTTCTTAATAAGCACCACCCACAAGTACATTAAATCTTTTGTCCTTGGTAAAGCAGCACACAAAGACCGGTGTGTGATGTGTGGGGGACACTTCAATTAGACTATCAACGCTATCATTAAAACTCTCAAAAAAAAAAACTTCCTTACAAACAGATTTAGAAAACAGTTATCACAAACAGGTGGGTAGAGGTGGAATTCTTTTCCCCCTTCTCCCCCCCCCCACCCCCCACCTTAAAGCCTTCCAAAGCGCGAATGCAACAAAGCTTGAGAAAAGTTATTAAATTAAACCCCACCACTGCCACCGCCATCACCGCCTCCTTCACTTGCTCCAATCCAGTCAACTTTTATTGGATTTTCCGGAGTAAAATAGACTTAAAAACCTCCTCTTTTAAGCCCCTTTTATTGATCTAATTAAATTATTCTTAACAAATGGGAAGAAGTGGATTGCTCCCTTGTGTAATTGTGACTTAATTTGTTCTCTGGTTTTTTTTTCCCCTTTTTTTTTGTACATCATAAAATCCTCCATGAGGCAATAATGGAAGGCTATTCTTCACCTTGAAAGTCAAGACGTGCCGCTCTTATCATTGGCAATCTACCGAAATTCCGCGGTGGATGTTCCATACACCATTCTTGGACATTAGAGACTCGGGCAAAGATGTAGAGGACGGCTCCATGGATTGGGCAAATTTGTGTGTCCCTTGTGTGTGTGTGTGTGGGGATATCTGTGTATCTGTGCCCGCTTGTGCATGTCTGGGTTGGGGAATTGGGAAGAGAAGAAAAGGCATACCGCATCGTCAGTAAAGCATGTAGCCATAAATTTTGTGAACCAGACCCGCATCTTCACTTTGTAGGGAGGGCGAAGGAGATGCGGAGCGGGAGACAAGGGCGAATTGGAGAAAGCAGAAGCGGAGGAGGTGGAGAGAGAGAGAGGGCGACAATATGGAGGATGAAGTTAAAAGAAATTGGGCAAAATCACCATTTTAGTGTGTAGAAGTTTTAGTGGTGTTCTGCCCCCTCCCCTCTTCATTTTGTAATTTCGCTTTTCTGCCTTGTAAATAATGTACGCTTTCAATCTTACCAACATCTTGTAATTGCATTTGCGCACCCCTTGGGCAAGATGGTCATAAACGTAAGGCCTAGATGGAATTTGACTTTACCGCTTCCCTATATGAGGTAGTAAGAGCGGCCTAAGTACAATGATCCCTTGAATACACCTTTTTGACAAGGTCATAAGAGAATCTCACTCAAGGTTGGGTAGATGTAACAAAGGAATGCAAATGAGTGGAGTGCATTTGCTCCACCTTTTAACTTAGCGTTGCAAAATCCACAGTAACCTTGAAGGTAGGTGAATGTAAATGATGCACTTGACTCAATCCACCTTACATGTTATTACAGTAGAACACGAAATACTGCAGAGTGAATGAAGCCGTGGGTCACTCCTCCCTTCCTTAATCAATGCGTTGCAGCCCTGCTTTTCAAGGCCATGACAGGAACCAATTGGGTCAGCTTTTGACAGGGGTGGGTAGAATCGAGAACGTCTCAACTACTGCATTGGGTGGTCTGGAAAGCGCACGACCCTTTTTCTGTTACCAATTAATTGACTTCGGTTGGAAATCGGCTCGAGTAGTGTTGAGAAGTCTGTGCTTTAAAGGAGGAATTCATACTGTCATGCATTCCTTACTGACCAATGGAATCCGAAAGTAATTATCAAGGCCGTGTCAGGAACCAATAGGACAGCTCCAAATCAATAAGGCACTATAGTGGCTTTAAGAACGACTTGGTCACTAATTGAAGTGGTCCAGCGACTTTGTGGCGCCTCGAAGACAGGCTATGTGGTCATCTATTGCCGATCAAGAAATTTCTGACGGTAATCAATTTGGGTAGCATTATCTTGCGTCCTCCATTGACCAATGGGATCTGGCCGTGGCTTTCAAGGCCGCATCGCAAACCAATAGAAGAACTATAAGTCAATAAAGCCCTTTAGTTTTCACGTTCATCTCACCCACAAATCGAAGTGGTCCAGAAACCGCATGACACTTTGAAAGCAGACTCAGATCATTTTCCATTGGTTAACGAAGTTATGCCGGTGGTTAACTTAAGTAGTATCGTTGCGCATCTCCCACCGATTAATGGGATCAGGCTGTGCTCTTCAAGGCCGCATCAGCAATTACTTGCAGTAGTCATGAGAGAGGTAAGGGGTAATTCAAACTGTCAGGCATTCGCATTTTTGGTAAACAGATTAGAGTGGCCTTGGGAATGAGATACCTCGAAGGGAGAAGAGGCAGGATGCAATTACACGTTTCAAGGGAGCAACTTTGAGAACGAGGGACGTAGAGGGGTAGTGTAGAGTAAGATGTTAGTACAAAACATCATAAAACTTTGTTTTAATTGTCAATTGTTTATGCAACAAAAATGAGTGCTCTGTAAATGGAGCAATTCACACGCAAAACCGTAACAAATTTTCATCCTTCCTTGGGTACATTTGTTGGTACAAATCATGTTTACGTTGGTGCATGGAATTTACAAGGCTTAACTAAATCAAACACTCCTCTGGGACGTAAATTAAAGGAGGGCATGGTGTGCTGAGAGGCATGCTATGCGTCTCTTGAAAGTGTTAGCCCCCACAAATATTCACCGTCCCTCCTACTAACTCGGTCACGTATGCAACCAGGCAATAAAATATTTTTCTTACCTCCCATAGGGGAGGGACATTTTAATGAAGGGTAGACAAATTTTACGCGAGTGATGCAAAAGAGGAGGCATTTTAAGGAGACACTGTAGTGCCTATTTAAAACCCTCTATTCTCTTCACCTCCCGCTTTCTCCTTCGCCTCGTTCATCCCCCCCAAAACCCCTCCAAAATTTCTCCCCATTAAACATTGATGAGGAAAAACGAGTCATATTTGGCAACTAGACGATTTGGGAAAGAAGGTAGATTTGCAATATCAGTCGGCATTGACAAAAGTCTTTTTCAACAAGAGATCTCAACATCCAAGACGAGAAGCCTTTCGTCTCTTATAGCACGGCAAATTGGATTAACAGAGACAACTGAATTACTCAATCCAAAATCCAGGATTAACTGCGTAAGGTTTACTAGGTGGAGGATACCGTTCTGCTGCCAGAAGTCAGGATTTGCCTCTGACCCTCGTTCCTTGCATCTCTACAC